CCCCAAAACCCCAAAACCCCAAAACCCCAAAACCCCAAAACCCCGGAATACTATTTAAAGGTAGAAAAATCACTAACTTTAACATTAAATAATGAAACTTGATAAGATACAATACTTCTTAATCTTGGCCTATCTCCTCGTCATGCCGTCACTCTGCACCCAATGCACAACTGAAACTTCAGTTCTACGTAACCCCCAACTTAAACTTTAGAACAAGAAGTGCTTACCTCCTACACATGGAATATTTCTACTAGTGATTCGTATTTTGTGGATGCAGTCGGGTCTTCAGGTAGGTTAGGAAGTGAGAAGTGTAGATGCAACGTATTGGATAGCTAAGTCAGGGGATTATGTAGCAGATATAATCAGAGAAAATTCAGATGGAAGCATCCCCTGGATGAGACGGCTTAATGATGGTCAGCAAGTTGCCCCTCATGCTCATGCATTGAACAATGCAGGCACTATCCTATGGCTAGTAGATCAACATGCGCTTTTCAATGGGATTGAAGTCATGAAAATGGATACCTCCGACGGGAGCACTATTATCTATCATAATAGGCAAGTCTTAAATATTTGCTTTCTCAATTTTTTCAAAAACCTAGGTCTAATTTTTGTAAAACAAATCGCATGGCAATAGAAATGCTTGGGTATACCTGCAGAGTACTATTATTTCAGAATATTCGTGTTTTTTCAAACTGCTCTTTTTCATTCAAAATTGCTAGGCTTTTGTAATAAGATCTTCAAAATTAGCATTGTAAATTTTAAATTTATAAATTAATTTTCTTAGCTCTTGAAATTTTAGATTAACAAATATTTTATTTTTTGTAGTAAACCTAATTATTTCTTATGATCTTTAATGATAACTTCTTATAGTGTTGATCTTGATAACCGCATAATTCCACCATATGCTTTTATTTCAGCTGATGATTCAAAACTTTATTATACTGTCAAAAGTAAGGATTTTAGAGAATATTTTTAATATTTCATAGATAAGGGGACTGATGCCTTGGTTTGAGCATTCGATACATCGGCCTACACATCAAAATGATTTATTACTGGAGCATCATCTCCTCCTAGAGGAATGAAGATGATCAGTGATACCCAGATCATTTATATTGGAGTCGATGCTTCAAGCAGCCATGGAGTTCTGATCAATGTAGACCCTTCTTCTACCACCCCTACAGTTAACTGGCAGAAGCTTTTATCAATCCCTGGAGGATCAGCAGCATCAATGAACAGAGCTGCTGCTACAACCAATGCAGATAAGTCACATGTGTATGCTGCTGTCCCGATCGGGACATCTACTTCAGCAACTTCTTTGGTCTTCATGGTTATCGAGGAATCAACAGGGAGTTTAGTAGTAGATCCCCTTGTTTCTAGTGAAGTATGTGCAGATGTAGACGAAATATATTACTTCTCAAACAAAGTGTATGTTCTTGTACAGTTCTCAGAAGCAAGATTGTTAGTATTTGATCCAACCTCAAGTTCATTCGCTACTATTTTTCAAAGTACAGGATCAGTTTATCATGGAATCCATTCTGATACAGTCGTAGGAAGGTATGAGATTGGTTTAATTGAATAGGCTAAGCTTGATTGGAGGCAAATCGAATTCTCCATTGATATACAAAGCTTTTCCTGGTAAGAATACTTATTGATTTTTAGATCATTTGGGTCTCAATGGAGAATTCACTACATCTTCAATGACAATGTCTTCAACCACTTCTTATGGATATTCTTCAAGAACCTACTCATTTACTTCTCAAGCAACATATTCTCATCCTTCTGCAGGTTCAGGTCATCCTAATATTGCTGTCTCAAAAACCGATACTGCACTGTGGGAAACTTCAGTAAACAGATTCATCGAGCCAATTTCTATTGATGCTAATCCAAGCTTTGCTTTCGATGAGCTTGTTAATGTCACCTGATCTATTGGAACATCAACCCCAATCAGTTACACATTCTCTAAAGCAGATGATCAAAGTGATTCTGAATGGCTCACTTTTACTGAAAGTAACTTCAGCCTTTCTGGAACTCCTCCAGATAGCGCAGTTGACAAAGTTTACAAATACACAGTAGCAGCTAGCTGGACTACGACTCCCTCTGGAACTGCTACTACAGAGATAACAATCAATGCTAAGACCAAAGAGACCATTACTGCTGGAGAAGTTGCAGCAGCCACAGCTCAGTCTCAAGTTGGAGTAGCAGCAGCAATTGCAGTCGTCAATGCAGCTCTGATGGGAACTCCTCCAACTTCATTATGGTCTTTACTTCAACAACTCCAGATGTTATTGTTGTTGATGCTTATTGACGACTACACTCCATCAGACATTAATGAGTTCTTAGAAGGAATGTCCTTTATAATGTTTAACTTCAATTTTATTCCTGCTGGAGATATTCCTCTTGTTGATGTCCCAATAGATTGGCTTGATTTTGGAGAACCTGGAGAGAAAATCCAGAATCTAGGCGTTGAGTCTGTCAGCACCTTTGTCAATAACTTCTCATTGATTTTTACTTTGATTTGTGTGATTGTTGCCCATATTGTGTTGAAAATTATTCCTTGTTTCAAGCAGAAAAATCATCCCAACTGAGTTATTAGAAATATATCAATTATTAAAGATAAAGTTATTGACATAATCTTTTATATCACGTATGCTAGACTGTTGCTTGAAGCTCATGAAAACATGATTATCTCATCATCTTTTGAAATAAAAGAGTTTGATACATCTTCTGCATCAAAAACAATATCTCACTTGATCTCATGGACTTTTCTATTGCTGTGCTTAATCATTCCAACATTTGCTTTGTATCTATTCTACAATCACAGAAAAGAATACGATCCTGAGAAGAAAACTCCGACAATGGAATTCTTTGCTGGCCTCAGAAACACTAAATGGGCCAGGTTTTATAGTTTCCTTCTATTGTTCAGAAGAGTCTTGTTTGTCTTAGTGGTAATTTTCATGTCAGGCAATGTGCACAGAGCTTATATCTACTCAATTCTACTTACCTGTCAAGTAGCATATTTTGGACACTTGGTAAGACCTGTCTTTTAATCTTAAATAGATATATTTGAGACCATTTGAAGAGCTGCAAGATAACATCATCGAGCTGGTCAATGAGCTTTTCTTAATTGAAGTTATTTGCTATTTGTTTGCAATGACAAGCGGTGACAAATGGACTAACTCAGCCATCACTTGGTTCATGAATAGTCTGACTATCAATTGTTTGGTTGTAGTAGCAATCATGATCTGTAATAATACATTGTAACTCATAGATTTCATGGTTGCTAACATCATAATTAAGTGTAGAGAATGGAGAAAGAGCAAAGATGTCTCATCATTCAGCCACTTAGTAACCCAAAATAACTAATTTATAGTCTGTACAAGAAGAACCTGCTAGAGAGACTGAAAACAGAGAAATAAAATCTACAGGCAGAGAGCAAGACTATGCCGACGAAGAATCTTAACCCATTAATTTCCCTAAAATGATTAAATTCATATTCAGACCTAACATCCCAATCATCTATACCTCCCTCGGGGTTTTGGGGTTTTGGGGTTTTGGGGTTTTGGGGTTTTGGGG